ATGTATCTATGTACCTATCTATCTGTCTATCTATCTATCTATCTATCTATCTGTCTGTCTGTCTGTCTGTCTGTCTATCTATCTATCTATCTATCGAGTCTTTCTCTGTCTGCTCTTCCTTTGGTTTCACATATGCCCCGCTCGATGGCAATCAATACCTACCGTCTTCACCTGAATAGAACGCCCGGTATTTATCGCTGTATCTAGACCAAAAATTGCCCCAAATACAGTTATAATGACCGGGCGGTCTATTCGGGTAAAGACGGTAGCTCTCTGACGATGTTTTTTCTATAAGATGAAGTCTCATCAATTAGCACCTATATATATAGGGGATGTGTTATTTGCTTTGTGATAATTGGATTATCTTTCTTTCCCTATCTTTCTTTCCCTGTCAGGTTTGGTTTCCTCCTCCCTTTCTTTACCTCTTTGCCTTTTGGCTGCGTGCAAGTGGGTCCTTGTGACACACGGGGATGTGGGCAGCCAGCGCTCAACCTGTCATCCACGTGGCTGGCCTTGTACGTAAGAGGTTATGAACAGGTGGAGCTTTCCTTACCTCTTCCCCTTCCCCTTTTTTCCTTTTCCTTTTTTCTTTCCCCTTTTTTTCGCTTCTGCGCTCTGATTCACAATGTGACAATATATTGTCACGTGATATATTCATGTGACGATATATATGTATGGTTCTGAACAGGGGGAGTTGTAAGGAAGAAAGATTTTTCTTGTTTCTGTTTTTCGCTTTGGCGCTCTGATATCATGTGACAATATATATTATATCTTGTGACAATATATTACTTGTACCTATTACATGAGGGTATTCCCCCCCCCCCCCCCCCCCCCCCCCCCCCCCCCCCCCCCCCGTCTCCTCTCTCTCTCTGTCTGTACTGTCTGCACCTAGTACATTTGTACACGTGCATGTAAGTCATAATCTATACATGCATACGTGTTACACCATTCATATATACATGAGTACATGCACTGTCACTACACAGTGGGGTATATTCATGTTTACATATACTTATCTATATCTATATATATATTCGCTTTGGCGCTCTGATATCATGTGACAATATTCCTACATCCACGTGGGCGGCCTTGTACGCAAGAGGTTCTGAACAGGGGGAGTTGTAAGGAAGAAGATAAGAAATGAACTGATATCTTTTTTGTTTTCCTTTGTGTTTTTCGCTCTTGCGCTCTGATATTTATGTGATGACCCCTCCTCCCCCTTCCCCTCTGCCTTCCTCTCCTTCTTCCTCTCCCTCTCCTTCTCCCCCCTTGCCATCCCCTCCTCCCCCTCCTCCTCCTTCTTCTTCTTCTTCTTCTTCTTCTTCTTCTTCTTCTTCCTCTTCTTCTTCTTCGTCCTCTTCTTCTTCTTCCCCCCGCCGGCTGCGAACGGGCCCTCCTTTGTCTTCGTTGTCTATATTGGGACGTCGGCAGGCTCGTTCATTCTCTCCTCCTCGATGCTAATCTGCGGGGATCTTTGTCTTACCGACAACCTGCTCTGCCACGTCGGCTGCGTTCGTCTTTTACGCGCCGMCCCCGCCAGATCACATCTGGCTTTCCAGTGGTGACCGATTCGGATCTGCGGGCAGACCTACCAAATTCTTGTGGTTTGACAGCCACAAATGTCTGCCTACAGGCTTATCAGCGTCAACGTTATAGTGCATCCCAATTTCTTACGATTGCGTAT